ACACACACACACACACACACACACACACACACACACACACACACACACACACACACACACACACACACACACACACACACACACACACACACACACACACACACACACACACACACACACACACACACACACACACACACACACACACACACACACACACACACACACACACACACACACACACACACACACACACACACACACACACACACACACACACACACACACACACACACACACACACACACACACACACACACACACACACACACACACACACACACACACACACACACACACACACACACACACACACACACACACACACACACACACACACACACACACACACACACACACACACACACACACACACACACACACACACACACACACACACACACACACACACACACACACACACACACACACACACACACACACACACACACACACACACACACACACACACACACACACACACACACACACACACACACACACACACACACACACACACACACACACACACACACACACACACACACACACACACACACACACACACACACACACACACACACACACACACACACACACACACACACACACACACACACACACACACACACACACACACACACACACACACACACACACACACACACACACACACACACACACACACACACACACACACACACACACACACACACACACACACACACACACACACACACACACACACACACACACACACACACACACACACACACACACACACACACACACACACACACACACACACACACACACACACACACACACACACACACACACACACACACACACACACACACACACACACACACACACACACACACACACACACACACACACACACACACACACACACACACACACACACACACACACACACACACACACACACACACACACACACACACACACACACACACACACACACACACACACCGGCTAACCAGAATCTAAACGAACTGGAAGCTCATAATAGAGCCAACAGGGAAGATTGAAGGATAGCCAAACAGGTGGTGAACTATGATAAACTGAAATGGGCAATTAACTTATTCGAACCATATAAATAACCGGGCATGGACGGGATTTATCTAATAATGTTACAAATAGGTCCTGATATTTTATACAGCAGACTCTGTAACATACTCAGAAGTAGCCTGGCCTTTGGACACATACCAAAAGCTTGGAGTAATATTAGGGTAACTTTAATACCAAACCCTGGGAAAATGGGACACGAAACGGCAAAGTCCCTAAGATCAATAAGTCTTATGTCCTTTTTACCTAAGACTTTGGAAAAACTGCTAGATAGGCATATTAGAGACGGGATATTGGTTCAGAGGTCAATATACCAAGACCAATACGTTGATAGTGCAGAGAAATCAACTGAAACAGCTCTCCATCAATTATTAAAAAGGGTGGAGAACACACTGGAAAGCAAGGAGGTATTTCTGGGAGCATTCTTGGATATCGAGGGTGCATTTGACAATACCTCCGTTGAATCGATCATTAGATCTCTCAAACACAGAGGAATCGAGGACACATGCGTGTCCTGGATCGACTCTATGTTAAGGGAGAGAACTATACACACAACCCTTATGGGAGAGACAATATCGGCACGGGTAGCGAGAGGATGTCCGCAGGGTGGAGTGCTGTCTCCACTCCTGTGGAACCTTGTAGTGGACGGGCTGCTTAGGGCTCTCAAAGATAAGGGACATAGAACCCTGGGATATGCCGATGATCTAGTGATCATAGCACAGGGAAAATACAACACTATAGTAAGAGATCGAATGCAAGATGCTCTAAATATAGTAACAAAATGGACAGAGGCGGAAGGACTAAACATTAGCCCAAACAAATCTGACATAATTGCATTCACCCGCAGGAGGAAATTGGAGGGAGTAGGGCTTCTAAACCTAAGAGGTGCAAGTCCAGCTTAAGGGGGAGGTAAAATATCTCGGGGTTATGATTGACTCGAGACTTACCTAGAACCAGCTTCTAGAAAGAACCACAAGGAGAGCAGAAACCTCGTTAATAATAGCAAGGCGATCCTTTGGAAAAAAATTGGGGCTAAAACCAGACATGGTATATTGGCTTTATAACATGGTGGTGAGACCGATAATAACATACACAGCTTTGGTGTGGTGGCCAAAGACACAGCGAAGGAAAGCAATAACGAGGCTAATCAAGGTACAAAGACTTGCCTGCCTCGAAATAACGGAAGCAATGAAAACAACTCCCACTGCTGCAATGGAAGCACTAATAGGACTCTCACCTCTTCACTATGTGATACAAGGGGAGGCAAGATTAAGTGCTTACAGATTAGGGAATACACTGGGAAATCTTGACATTAGGCCAGGTTGCATGAGTATCTCAAGGTAAGAGTGACAGGAGACGTGCTAGACATGAGATCAGACCACATAACCATTTAATACTCCATTTGAGGTTTTAATACAGGAAAGAGCGGAGATGACCATAAGGGAACCCAATACCCAATGCCCAACGACAGGAATAAACCTGGTATACAGACGGGTCTACGACTGCGGAAGGCACTGGGGCAGGAGTATTCTCCAAAAATCCTGATACCTATGCTATAGGAATACATTCCTCGGTATTTTAGGCCGAGGTATACGCAATTTTTCAATGTTCAAAAACGAACAATGAAAGGGCTGTCGAAAATCAGCATATTCAAATAATGTCAGACAGCCAAGCGGCACTTAAGGTCGTATCGAGTCAGAAAGTTACATCGAGGCTAGTATGGGAATGCATCGAAGAACTAAGAACACTGGCAGACCGAAATAGATTAAAAATATTTTGGGTGCCAGGTCACCAAGGGATCGAAGGCAACGAAAAAGCTGACGAACTTGCAAAAAGAGAGTCAGAAGAAACACCGGAACCAGACACAAACCCAGGAGTACCAAAAAGTACAGTCCGGGGTTTCATAAACGACTGGAATCGGGAACCACATATCAACTATTGAGGGAGCACCCCAAAACAGGCTCATGGAAAAGCCTTCATACGCAGACCATGTCCCAAAAGAACTGATGAACTACTCTTAATGAATAGGAACCAGTTGAAAGTGATAACAGGGTTCATGACTGAACAAAATTGGCATGTACAATGGGGAACTCATGTGCCGACTATGTCACAAGAAACCAGAAATGGCCAAACACATACTGTGTGAATGCGAAGCTCTAGATCGCAAAAGACAGGCTCTTTTAGGACAACCCCAGGTTGATCCAATAACGTATAGAACCCACTCACCCAAGGATCTGTACAAACTTGTACAAGGTACAAAGTTAACAGAGTGGGTGCTATGAACTAACATGGGGTAAAACACAATAAGCCAATAAGCTTCAGTGTTATTCGGAGACACATAGTCAGACGAGCCCAGGAGAAAGAAAAAAAATCAGGACTTGATGGCTTACGTCTTTTGGATAATACTTTGTTGATGAGTGACTCATTATCAGAATCATCACTGTCACTAAATGACTCGTTTTTGTCAGATTCTTCACCTTCGGACACAAAATCGGCGTCTCGGTCATCATCCACATTTTAAATGTCAGAATCATTTTCTTCAATATCTATCATTTCAGTAACTCCTGACACTTAATTATCAAATAAGTCATTTTCCTTGGACACAAAACTAGTTGTTTAATATTCATCTTCAGATTTACTAATTATTTGGTATGGGCAAGGGATTTTCGCTGTTTGAGATACGTTATCCACATAACTACAACTTGGTTGAGAATACTCATCATAACTGAAAACTCTTTCAACTATTACTTTTTGATTTTCAATTCGATTTTTTAGTACTTTCTCCATATTATTTTCACTATCCAAAAAGAAAATAGATACCTATTTGTTTCTGAATTGGTATTTTTAAAATAATAGAATAAAACTATTAAGAAAGGTAAAAGCAGTATAAAGTTTTCAGTTCAAGGTTTATATATTTTTTAATATTTCTAAAGAAATCTATGACAACAGACTCATTAAATTACAAAATAAAAAACCATTTAATTATCAATAAATCATATCAATAATTTTTCAACACTCTATACAGTAGCTCTATAAACAACAAAATGAGGTATTAGTATAACCTCAAAATTACCTGACATAACCTGATATGTTTATTTTATACTATTTTTATTATTTGGCAAAACTTGATATGTCTACATATCAGGTTTACCCAAAAAATGAAATGGCGGAAAAAACATATCAAATAATGTATATCAACAATTTTCCAGATAAAATTTGGTATTTTAGACATATATCATAGTGACAAAACACAAATGTTTTGCCAAATAGCCACAGATTTGCTAACGCCGCCTAAATGTTTTTTGATGATAATTCTTGGATTTTCTTGTTCGCCAATTATATTTTTGAAGATCATTTTGAATTTTTTTATAGTCTATGAATATTTTAAAACTGTCTGTTTTGGTGTATTTAGTTTTAGCTTTCATAGGATGTTATATTCATATACAGCCGCAATTGCTTTGTCGAGAGAAAATTGTACCACTGCCTGATGAATATAACAAGGTCTATGCAGCTGTGTACTTTTTTTGAATGCACGTGTAATTATTTATCGTATAAAGTAAATTATATTCATGAAGTAAATTTAAATATCATGAAACATTATGTTCAGCAATAATGTTTATATTAATATTACCAACTAATAAATGAAAATCCAGTTTAAGATAACATATTTTTACTAAAATATTTCAGACCCACGTTGGGGGCGCCATTTAAAAAAAGTAAAATAAATAATTTTTTTACCAAATTGCTGAATTCCCTGTGGACACCTCTAATTACAAACGTAAATAATACATTTCGTATATATCCTTTTTTTAAAGCCAAATCCGGCGCCAGACCGAATACAAAACAAAAACAGAACAACAAAAAAATTCTATTCACATACAATATATCTAAAAATCCGAATCGCTTACCTGAATCCTGCTCCCTGGCGAAACTCGCCACGTCCACGGCCTCATTGTTCATAACGAGGTCCTTGAAGCATCCGACGAATCCTTGTTGAAGGACCGCTGTCCAGAGCCCCGCGGGAACGGGGATTTCGGAGAACGGTGGGCCCAAACCGCCCACGTACATGTTTCCGTCCAGCTCCAGACTCGAGGAACCTTCTGCAACAAGATGAAGTCGGGTTAGGGTTTGACGAGTTGAGCGGTGGGTTTAAGGAAAGACAATGATTTTATTAAAAAATATAGGGTAAGAGGTTAAATTAGAGTGGTGTAGTATTTTTAATAAAAATCTCGTTGCACGTCATCTGTGACGTTAGTCTTTCGTCATAGTACTACCAATTAATTAAAATGTCCTTGATTTCTGACACAGCGTACACTGTAGTGTACATTGATTTCAAATACTGCTAATATACGCTTGTGTTGTAATTTAAATTCAAATTTAAAAATGTCTTTTACGACAAAAAGGCGCGATTAAAACTAAAACTTTAGTTCATCGGTACATAATATACTATATTTTATATATCTAATTTTTATTATTAGTATGTAGCATGGCTTTTTTGTTTGCCTTTTTTTTTATTAAAAAAATATTATTTTAATGATTTCCGGGGAATTCCCTTTTTAATTACGCAGCCTAAACGAGCGCGAACTCTTTCACTAGGACGTGTCAGTACGTCACGCCCGTAGGACGTAATTTCATACAATCTTTTTTATTTATACTTAAAATAAATGAAAAGACTATGAAATATAAATTTTTTTGTTTATTTATATATAAAGCATATAGGAAAATACAAAATTACAAATAGAAAAGAAAACCAACAAAAAAAATGGATAGATATACAATAAAAAATATAAAAAAGTTAACAATTGGAGGTTTCAGAAGCTCATCAGTATAAGTCATCGTTTTGTGTTAAATCAAAGTTTTTTTAAACCACTCAAATTTAGATTTTGCATATCTTCAATAAAATGATCTTGTTGTATGACTTTTCAATAAAAAAATGTTATAAAGTTCTTATAATTACGAATCTACATCAAGGACGTACTGATATGTCCTACCCGTACCCGATATTGTTTACGTTTGACTGTATTTATACGTCCCGCTCGGTTAACAGGTCAATACGTATATGTACATAAACATATATAAAGTGAAATAATAAAACGACGCATCAAGAAAGCACCAAATTATTAAACTTTTTAATCTAGGTAAAAAAACGATATAATAAACTATATTAATTGTATTAACTAAAAACTACTATATGGGCTTATATAAATGTTCTTAAATTAATTTTATATGTAAAAATGTGGGTTCCTAGAAGGGTATCTATTTCACTGCGCAGCCAAATTAATATTTATGGTGGAGAATTTTTAAAGTAAATAAAGTTTTATCAGAAGTAACATTTTCTGAAAGAAGTAACAAGAAAAAGTTTTCCATATAAAGCAGGCTTTTTGCGAGCCACTATATATCACAAATGAATCGGTCATTTGAGAAACGACACATGTCACATTTTTGGCCATTTTGTTTTTATTACAAAAATACACTATTTAAAGGTAAATTATAATTATTGTATTATACCCAAAATAGAGCAAGTTTTAAAGGTTAAGTGTACATGTTTTGAGATTTTCACTTTTTCTTATTTTTAAAAAAATGATCTGAAACTGACATGTGCTGTTTCTCAAATGACCAATTCAAATGTATTAATATGCACGTGTTAAAACGGTACAAAAAACTTTAATCCGTCTATAGTTATTGATTTTAAATAAGAGGGAGACCGGACATCTTCGAAGAGAAACAGCGAAATTAGTAAAGAATTTTAACTCGATTAAAAAGCGTTCTTTCTCTTTCAATTTTCTAAAAACCCTTAATAGACCCTTTTGAAATCGGTTTTTGGTGGCTTTTCTTCTAATTTATTGCCTTGAAAATAATATGATTTACATTAAAAAACAAAAAACCGACATTATTTTTGTGAAATAAAAATATATTTTTATTTTGACAATTTTCAACTGCCCTCTGTTTCCATCAAAAAAAGAAATAAGATGTTTGACAACAAGTTCTTTTCTAGATATTAATAAATTCTTTAATTTGCTTTTTAATTTTTTTAAAAATGTTCTTTAGTATTTTTATAATTTGGGAAACAGTATAGCATTGAAACTCCTATACCCGAAAAATTGTACGTATGCTCTTAATAATTGACTGACGAGTCGAAAAGCGTCCAGATAGTTTAGCAATATATTCGCTCTTGTACCACCAAAGATATCCTTGATACAAAAAATCAAAGTAATAAATACAGGAGGTTAATGTAAACGGACAACAAACGGTGTTATGAAATTTTACATTTTTAAATAAACTTGTTTTTTTAAAAAATATTTTCTATGACCGTTGTTTTTTATATTCAAGCGGATTTATAATAGTAAAACTTGGGGTGCCCATGTGTGAGTTGGTTGGATAAAAAGTTACCTACCTTTGATTTTATAATATGTAGCGATCATAAGATATAATGTTTCAGCATATCATCATTTATATTTTAACAAAAATTATTTTTATTTGAAAATCTGTAACCTAGGTACAGCTTCTGGAACAAATTCATAAAAAACATGTACTGTTACACTGTCTATCAGCTGCCGAGTTAAAAAAATGTATCCATTTGGGCAAAACTACAAATGAATTGAAAAAAAGTGATAGGTAATAAGTTTTTTTTTATCTTACAATATCAATATCATCCAGACAAAAAACAAAAACATGTTTAAATGAATATATTAAATAAATTAACACATATATATTTAGATATTTGTATTATGAAAATAATGTTTATGTCAACAAACTTATGTTCAAAATTTGTAACAATTTGTAAATATTAATATTTAAAGGTATTAAATAGGGGCTTAAAGATATCACTGTTCGAAATTCCTTTTATTGACCATAATATTTTTTTAGTATTTCAGTTAAGCTCCAAAAATCAATTTATATTTTAATATAAACGCCTCCTTAAGCGCAGTAAAGTTGCAACAACTAAACAATTGTTACGTGAAATTAATTTTAAATTAATTTTAAATTTATTTTTAACAACAACTTCTCCATAACACAATTTAAAGGACAACCGCTCGCTTCTCGAGATTTGAAAAGTACGGTTTGCGCACGTGCCTAGCGTTTCTTTCGGCATCCACTCTGGGATAAAACCGACTGGAGTTGATTTAACCGGCCTTTTGGTTTATCAAGTTCAAAAACTTCAATATCTACTAGTTGTGGTTATTATGAGATTTCAGTAATTATCTTGTCTTTTATATGTGCTTATTGTGTGTTATCGTTGGGATAATTGTCAGGTAATGTTTATTTCATTTTATATTTTAACACTTTGCTGGATTTAGTTGGAAAGCCGAAAATATCGACCATTTGCTTTTTTTTATTACCATCATGCTGACGAGTTTCGGTTACTATTATTGTTTTATTTTATTTTATATAGATTATAGCTACCCTACCTTATATTATTTTTAAGCTTTCCTTGATATATACGCGGGGAGACAACTAAATAACTGAATTGAGAATTAAGTCTGGAAATACAGTTTAAACGAAAATCTATGGCTCTAAACTTATTTTGGACTCATAAATAGTTTATATTTTGTTCAGATGATGTAAAACTTATTGTTATAATTTTAATATTTGTCTGATATTTTATATTCTGTTCAGATGATGTAACTTTAATATTTGTCTTGTTTATGAATAAGTCCGTTAGATATCCAAACTGGCATGTAGATGTACTATTCCTGTTACTGAGGTTCTTTTTATTTCTAAACCTGTAATGACTCCAAGTTCGAGTTACGTAGTTTCTCCAAGAATCTCCAAGTTACGTAGTTTCTCCAATTCCAAGCTCCAAGTAGCGTAGTTTCTTCAAGTTCCGAGTTCCAAGTGCGAACTCCAAGCTCTAAGCTCCAAGGTACGTAGCTTCCAAGCTCCAGGTTATGTAACTTCTTCAAACAAGCTCCAAGTTTCAAAGTAGTTTCGAAATAGCTCCAAGTAGCTCCGAAGCAGCTCCATGTAGAATCAATTCTCGACATACGACAGGGAAGTATCGCTATAGAATGCCACATGGTCGAGACAATTAAATATCTACATTCAACTTCATTTAATATTTTTTTTCAGTCAATTTTCATCCATCTTTCAAATTTAATTATTAATTATTAATTTATTGATAAATGCATTCTTTTTACTTTTTTTATTAAATGTATTAAATTTTCTTACTTTCTTTTATTTACCAGAACTCATAACAGATAACTTTAAGTGCCAGAGACTGACTCAATTAAACAAGGCATATAAAATCACATACGTTTTCCAAGTTACTCAAAAACTTGGTGGCGCTTAACATTTTTGCCGTTATCGTATTATAGTATCTTATCGTTAAGTAGACTTTGGTCCACGAACAGGTCAAGCTACTCTGACTTTATTTGTCCTGGTCAATTTATGAATCCACGCAGTACCAGCAATTTGAGTTAAATCACCTTATAAGTACAATTTACATCGTAGAAATCAAAAAGAAGGTAACACAATGTAGTGAACTTTTCGAAAATTTCTAGGTTTAAATGAAACTCAATTTATATTTAAAATTAAATAAGTTAGCTAAAATGTTTGACCGTATGAAGGTATTAAAGTTATAAATAATTACGTTACAAATATTTATATGTGAATTTTCAATTTCCATTGATGTGATATTTATCTGCGTTTTTACGATATCAATACATGGCTTGACTTTGGCACAAAACTCTGTAGTAAAACTTCTAATCCGAATCAGAATCTCGATATTATTATTTGGGGGCTTAAAAACGTGGTTCACTAGTTATTGTATCCTTTTAAAATATTTGGTATAATAATAATTATATTATTATATTATATATTAATAATTGCCACTGTCACTGCCGCTGCCACTGCCACTGGTAAAATCTTAATTTTAAAAAAGCGTATTTTAATAATAAGATATAATAATAAGATATCATATTTTAAATGGATCGTCTACTACCATGTTTAAAAAAAGGTTAAAAAATACACGTGCATGATTAAAACCGAGTTCCAAAAAGGTCAAAGTAGTTGTAAGAAATACCATATGTGGGACATGTTGATAAATGTGGGAATATGGCGATGAATAGTGTTAGCCTATAAGTTTCTTAACGCAAACTTT